GGGGGCTCAGAGCAGAACCCGAGTCTGGCCTTGCCCGGGGGAGGGGGGACACTGGGAGAGAGCGGCCAGGCCTGGGTCCGTGGATGCCCGGCCGGCCAGGGCCGATGGCCCTCCCGAAGGATTTGAAAGAGGGGTGCGACCACGTTCACATGCCTGCGTGCGTGCACACCCACGCGTGTGCACATGCATGCCAGCATACACGCATGCACACGGGCACGCACGCCGGCACGCACACGGGCACGCACGCCGGCACGCACACAGGCACGCACGCCGGCATGCATGCATGCTGCCATGCACACGGGCATCCACACGGGCACGCACACGGGCACGCACGCAGCAGAGCCGCGACGCCGACGGTCCCTTGGCTTGGATGCCGAGTCTGCCGGAGCGTCTTTGCGCTCTTGGGCAGGCGCTCGGGAGGGAGCCCGGGCTTTGAGGAGGGGCTGCGAGGTGGGCCCCAGCGGGAGAGCGCTCCCCCCACTCATCTCCGGCTCTCCCGTTCCAGACGGCGTCCTGCTGGCGGAGGGGAGGCCTCCAGGGACCTGGAAGCCCAGCTGGGGCGCGCCGAATCCGGCCTTTCCTTCCTCTCCGGGCTCACCGGCGTCAGGATCGCGGACTACTCCATGGCGAGAGCGGAGCTTCCCGGGAGCAGCGAGAGCGCCGGGGAGAGTAAGCGGCGGTGCGGCTCGGTGCCCGCGCTGTGCCCTCAGTTGTTGATTTCCAGGCTGGTTCCCGTGAAGTTTCCATCTTGAGGATTGTTGGGGGAGGGGGAGCCCTTGCTCCGTTGCCAAAGGCGACACCCAGCATCAGTTGACCCCCCTTTACCCGGGACGGATGAGGGAGACAAATGAGAAAAGGATTTGGGGGGTTTGGGGCCTTGCCGGGAAAGCTTCCTGGGACCCAGCGAATGTCTGGTCTGGGCCCAAAGGTTCAAAGGGAAACTGAGGCAGCCGGGTCCAATGAGAGTGTGGCCCCTGTGGCTGGCTTAGAGCCTGGGGGAAGGCTGGCTCGTTGGGTGGGTTGGCTCAGGTCCAAGGAACAGTGGGAGATGGTGAGAGTCTGTTCGCAGCTCTGACCGGTCCCTCCTGTGATTCCCTCCTTTGCGAGGGCCTCCCGGGAGGCTCTGTGCCCCGCACTTTGGCGAGGGTGGCGGGCAAGGTCTGTGGCACGTTTTAAATGTCACCCTTTGAAGGTAGAGTGGGATTTCAGTCAAGGCCAGATGGGATGGAGAAGGTCAGTGCCAAGCTGGGAAATGCTGATTTGTATCCAGATGAAGCAACTGGCAAGGCCTGAGGCTGGTTTCCCTTTGGAATTCCTACTCTTTGGTCCATTTCAAAAGTTTCCAGAAGCTTTCTGAGCCAAGAGCAGCATGGCTGCATTAAGGAGATGCCCTTTGCAGGCCTGCTTCTGCAGTCTCCCAGGGGATCTGTGAGCTGTCTGCCCGGTGTGGCTAGTTCCTCCAGAAGTGCTGATAGCACCTCGTTGGTGCCTGTCCATCCTGGGCAGCTCTCACTAGGCCCTGGCGGCCTTCCTCACTTTCTCTTTACATCCCACAGAAGCATGGGTGTGTTTGGTAAAATATCTCACGTGGAAAAGAGTGAGCTGCAGCGTTCTTGGGTGGACGGCCCATTGGAAGGGGGGCCGGGGGCCTGGCCTCTAGTCCTGGCTCTGCTGCTAGGCTGCTCTGGGACCTGCACTGAGTCCCTAATGTGTTGGAGTGCCAGGTTTCAGATGAGGCCACTGACATGGATGCTGTTCCAGGGACCTTCTTCTGAAAAATAAAGGGACCACTTCCCCATCCCAAAGAACGGAATTTCCAGTAAATGTGGGGCCTTTGAGATTGAGATTACCTGGGACAGTTGGGCCGGAAGGCTTGGTCAGAGATAACAAGCCTGAGGAGAAACTATCAGCCGGTCAATAAACATTTGTTGAATACCTTCTGCGTGCCAGGCACGATGCTAATCACATTAAGTACCTACTGTGTGACAGGCCTTGCTGAGTGCATTAAGTGCCTTCCAGTACTTACTGTGCATGAGTACCTACTATGTGTGGGTGCTGGGCTGACCACACAGAGTGCCTACTGTGCACTGCGCTAAGCACTGGGGATCCAGCGGTAGAAGACAGTCTCTGCCTTCAGGGAGCTCACCGTCACTCCCTATCCAAGGTGGCCTGCTGTCCGAACGGTTGCGTTAACTGTGTGACCACGTGGAGATGCCCACACGTGGGACGGTGGTGGGTTTTTTCAAAGAACCCGGCCGTGGATCTGCGAACGCACCTCTGTTTTTTTCTCTTGCAGGTGGCCTGAGAGTCCTGCGAAAGGGCCGCCTGGCGGGAGAGTGCCACTCTGTTCCCTTTCAGCTCGAGTTCCAGCTTCTGGAAACGCAGGTGAGTTGGACGGGCAGGTGCCGGGGCGGCAGCAGCTGGGTGCCAGCGGGACCCCTGCGCCCCATTCGTCTGTCCGACCGTTGGATCCCTCCCCCACTTACTCCAGGAGAGGGGAGGCCTTCCCCCCAGTCCATGGGCAGGAGGCCAACCCAGCTGTCCCGAGGAGCTGTGGACATGGAGGGATGATGAGAGTGGGGCAGGATAGGTACCTGAGGCTCGGAAGAAGCACAGTAAATGGGGCACAGAGAAATCAGGGGAGGCTTCTTGAAGGAGGAAGCCAGTGAGCTTGAGCCAAGCCTAGGGATTCCAACGAGGGAGCGTGAGGGCAAAGGGCCTTTGGGCTTTAGAGGGTGCGGAGCGCTGGGCCCCTGAGGCATGGCTTATTAACCCCATTTTACAGATGAGGAAACAGGGGCAGGCAGAGGTGAAGGGACTTGTCCAGGGTCATCCAGCCAGTTAGCGTCTGAGGTCGATTCAGTCTCGGGTCCTCAGACCACAGACTTGGCACTCTGCACACTGTGGGTAGGGATCTCATCATGGTGGATGGCCTGTGCAAAGGCGTGGAGGTAGGAGATGTCCCATCATGGCTAGAAAACCGTGGAATTTGGCTGGAACGTGATGGGGAGGGGATGGGGAGCTTTCCCGGCCCCCGGGGTTTGCATTGGAGTCTCCAGGCCAGAGGAATTTTGGGCCTCACTAGGCCCCTAGGGTTCACTACCCCTTTTGCCTAGCCCTTTTGGGAGCATTTCTGCCATTATCAGGTTTCTCTACCAGCTAAGTGTTTCCCAGGTTTGTTTGTTCATTCAATCAGAGAACCCCAGGTTTTCTCCCACCTCCTGCAGGGCGTAAGAGCAGTAAGCTGGCGGCCATTCCTGTAGCAGCCCCTTCAGGGCCGTCTGCTCCCTGACCAGGGACTGGGGAGGCCTGACCCGTCCAGCCCCACCTGTCTGGATTCTAGGCAGCGTGAGGGGTTTCAAGGCCCTTCTCACCTCTTCCCTCTTTGATTCACACACGGACGTGTTAACCTGGCCCTCGGGGTCGGCTGTGGCTCGAGGTTCTAGGTCAGGCCCAGAGCTGGAAGGAGAACCGGGGCTGGAGCCAAGACTGTCTGGACCTACCTGGTCCAGTAGTCGCCAACATCAGCTCACAAACTCTGCAGCCGTGGGTGGGACGAAGCAGGGACCCAGCTGGAAGGGCATGGCCTGCAGACTGACCCCGGACCTCCCTTCTTGGAAAGGCCCCTGGTCCCTGGTCCAGGCCCCTGTGGAGTCCGCTGTGGGTGAGAGAGATCAGGGTGGAGGACACTGGCAGGGGTCCCCCCAGAGCTCCTTCCCACAGACCTCACGTTGAGCCAGGCTGCTTAAAGCACCCTGGGGCTCTGGGCCACACGTGGTCTCATGCCACGGGCCTGTCCCACCAGCTCCTTTCCAGGGGCTCTGGGCCATGCGTGGCCTCATGCCACGGGCCTGTCCCACCAGCCTGTCTAGAGGGGGCATCCTCAGGCAGCCCACTGAGGGAGCCGAGGCTGCTCCTCCAGGGGTCCAGGGGTCTCTGAGGATACCTCCCAAATGCCTGGCCTCTGGCCCATCTGTGCCCTGGGGACGTCTAAGTAGCGACCAGGGGGAGAAGGAGGGAGCGTCCTCCTGCAGCGGATGGCCTGGAGAGGGGACAGACTCGGGTAGCGCGTGGTGGGCTGACACGCTGAGATTTGGCGGCTGTCTCTGCGTGGTCGAGGGCAGACCCAGGTTGTCTGTGCCAGGCCCCCGGTGAACAGACCCTTCTCAGTCTCCATGACAGACGCAAACGCTTAGCCGGCGATCGCCAGCAGAGGGAGACGTTTCCTCGCTGGGAATTTGAAAAGTCGCTGATAGCTTCAGCCGTGCCCGGAGATTTCGTGGGTGTCCCAGAAGGGCTGCCAGCCTTCGAGGACTGCCGCGAGTCCGCACCTGAGCCAGCGGGGCACCCGGGGGGGCAGACCTTAGGTGTCACCACTTCCTGCTTACAGAGGAGGACACTGAGGCTCGCAGGGAGCACTGACCCTTGTGTGCGGGATTGAACCCAGTGCCTCCTTGCTCCTGGCCCCTCGCAGGTGCCCAGGGAGGGTGATGCTCTCAGGGCAACCTCCAGGACCCTCCTTTCTGAGGCCCGGCATCCTCTGAAAAGGCAGTGGTGACGTGCAGAGCCACGCCCGGCCCCGGGAGCTCTGAGCCCGGCTCCCAGCAGACTTGGCATTATCTTACCCCGCCCATCTTCTGCCTGCCTTGGGCACCTTATTAATGCCAGTGGCCTCGTGCTCCCTGAAGGAGCTTTTGTTGGCCAGGCTCCCTTTTGTGCATTTCCTCCGTTAGCCTCGAATTGTCCTTCCAGAGCCCTGAGAGGGGTGGACTTGGGGGTGGTGGTGGATGGAGACTTTCTGAGATGCCTCTCACAACCTTCCGTGCCCCAAGTCCTGGAAATTTGTCTTGGGAGCAGCCCACAGAACTGGGCACGTCACCTTTTGGTTGCCGCGCAGGACCGGATGCATCTTTCTGTGATGGCCGCACAGGCCCGGGGCGCCTCACCTTGTGGTAGCCGTGCAGGCCCAGGCACCCTTCCTTCTTCTGATGTGCGCGTGTACCGTCCCTTCCCGCTCTGCAGAGTGCTCCCAGAGCCTGGCCTCCCTTTCCCCCGAGGACCTCAGTCTATCAGGTTGTTCTCCACCATTTTGCCTTGATTTCTTGTCAGTTCTACCCCCGATTTTTCATTACCAGTTACCGCTCACTGCGGCCCCTCCTAAGTGGTGATTCGTCCACATTTCTTAGCCAGGAAGGCTCGGACGGAGAAGAGGCGTCTCAGCTATCTTTCTTCCCCTCCTGTGCCCTCAGTCTGTCTGTCCACAGCCCTCAGAGCCCGGCCTTGCTTGGCCCCACCTCATCCCAGCCTTCAGGCGTGGACAGGAGTCCTTCCAGGAGACAGCAGCAGGAGGACGCCTGGGGAGCCTCTCTGCCGCTTGGTGAAGGAAAGCTGCACCCATCACGGCTGCTCTCCGTGGAGCCGGCTGCCCGCCTTGGCCATGCCCAGTTCCCTCAGGGGCCCTGCTGCCTGCTCTCATCTCGCTGCCCATTGGCATCCTGTCTTCCTGTCTTCTGGGCTGTGTCAGAGTGCCCGGAGGCTGGCTGCTATGCTGGGAAGATTCCAGGCTGATGAGAGGGTGTCTTTTGGGGATGCCAGAGCCTCCCTTTTGTTCCAGAACACCAACACCCAACCCTTTCTTCCTCTACCTTTCTGCCAACGTGGCCCTTTCCCTTGCTCCCGACTCTGCTACGGCCGTGGCACCTGCACAGGGCCGGAATGTTCCCCCACGCCCAGCTGCTCCGGGCCCCCTTTGTCCTCCCCTTTCCCCTGCCTTCGTGGCCATGATCCCCGTCACTGTGGCCGGAGGGCGTGCCCCGCAGAGACCTCCTCGTAGCAGCGGCAGCTCTGTTCACACTCAGGCCACCTTTGCCTGCCCCTCGTCTCACTCGCGTCCCTCAACAGAAACGGTCTAAGTTTTTAAAATTGTAACATCACAAAGACGTTCTGAGGAAAAAGACTCATGGGATAAAGTTCTTCAGCAATTTGAGTTGAAGCATCAGGGGACGGGATGGAGGAAATGTCAAAGCCCGACCTGCATGAGTGCTCCAGGGAGGAGACTCTGGTTCATCTACAGAGCAGAAGAACAGGTGGTGGACATGAGGGTGACGGCATGGCCCAGTGGCTCAGGCCGGCCTCAGTGACCACGAGGAAGCTGCCGTGCACAGAGGAGCAGATGAACGTAAGGACCCACGGGAGGGCGTGGCCACGTGGCATCCCGGGCGTGGGCAGGGCAAAGGAGCAGATTTGGGAAACACCCAGAAGGCCAAACGTTCATCTGTAACACACAGCCAGGAGACACCGAGGGGAAAAGGCTACGTGGCCAGGAGTGGGCCGTGCCGTCCCAGGCTCGGCTGCGTCTCCTTTAACAGCCATCCTGGGGGTGGCAGGTCCTTGGCACTAAGGCTGACACCCTCAGCGTGACTTCCTCGTCTCCTGAGGCCGACAAAGTCTGACCCCTGGGGCATTGGTGTGGAGAGGGGTCAGCGGACTCCCCGTCTGTCCTGACCCAGTGTTATCATTGCCATGGCAGGGGATCAGGGGGTGGGGAGGAGCAGCGTTCGTCAGTGGCATTCAGTCACTAATTAGAAATGAGGGATCGCATCCTGTTAAATTCTTCATTACAAGGGACTTTATTTTTAATGTTTGATTCCATTCCAGTTCCAAGTATGCATCTGGACCAGCCCAGAATAGGCCCCGGACCCTGGCCTTGAGAAATGCAGGGCCTCCTACTGACAAAGACAATGAAATGATTCTCTAAGTGCTGAGGGAAGGAGAATGATTCCATTTTTAGTTAAATGCTGGTTTATCCATTGTTGTTTCCAATGGAGGCTAAGACTGTGCCTTCCTCTTTATCCCTGGTGCTTAGGACAGTGCTGGTACATAGTAGGTGCTTAATAAATGTTTGTGACTTAAATTCTTGTTGAGTCTCCAGTCTTCCCGACTTCCTGAATTGGGACTTTGTCTTAGCGCCGGGCTCTGCATACTTCTGGAGGGAATGGTGGGGGCCCGTGGGGCCTGATCTGTGTTGTCTGGGGTCCTTCCCCTGCTTTCTTCAGGTATCAGTTGCTATGTTCAGTAATCTCAAGGGCAGCTCAGGCTGGGGACCAACGTGTCCTAAAAACGGTCTCATCTCCTTGCTACCCTCTTGGTCTGAGCTTTGCAAGCTCTGGACTCTACTCTGGACCTGGGGGATACAGTTGGAGACTTGCCCAGGTTGGAGCTCCAGTAGACAAATTCTGGCTCAGCCCCCTTCACCTAGCTGGAATGGTCCGCAGGTCTGAATAGGCCCTGCTTACTCAGCTCTGGCTAGCCCCGGCATTTGTGCTCAGTGGATGGCCTTGCGTGGGGGTCCGGGGTCCAGAACTGTTGTCTCATGCCTGGTCTACGCTCCCTGCTTGGGCCACCAGCCTCTCTCCTCTCTGTATTGTGGACCGTACCCTGGGATCAGAGGAACAGGCTTCCAGCTGATTCCTCTTCAGGTGCAGCCCCCAGGCCCCAGGCCCCAGGCCCCTGCTTGGCTTCCTGTGCTGACCTCAGCTGGCAAAATGACCTCCTTGGGCTTCTCCTGGGATTTCTCAATCACTCTCAACCCAATGTTCTCAATCTTCGAGGGACAAGTTATACACAGTGCTAAGCCGTCCCTCCTCTGAGTGAGCATATGAGCCAGCCCTCGCCCTCCAAACTACCAAGTTAACAGGAGCGTGACCAAAAGTTACCCTACTTCAGAGAAAATGAAGAACTGTCTTAAATGACAATCGGGTTGAAGAGGAAATTAGGAAAATGATAATGTCATATTTAAATGCAATGAAAATAGCATCACATCTAATAAACAGGAAGACCCCAAGGGGGTCTTAGAGGCAAATATCCGCTGTTGAGTGCTGTGCATTAGTGAGAAATTGCTCCAATAAGCTGATCACATACCAGGTATCTCCAATGAGATCGGATTTGTAAAGCGCCTGACCCAGAAGTGCTGCCCCTCGCCTCCTCCAGGCAGCAGGAAAAGGCCCCCTTGGAGCCCAGAGGAGAAAAGAGAGCCAGGGGGGAGACCCGAGGGACCTGGCGTGGGACCCGGCACCTAGCGCACTTTGGGGTTACAGGCCTTGCCTTTACTGCACGTCCAGCCAGAGCTGATGTCTGGGGAGGTGATGGTCCACGTGAGGTCATTGCTGAGTCTACTTGATTTGATGAGGAAGAAAAAAAATTTTAAATAATCATTACAGATACTTTGCCTTTTTCTTTTAATTTTTTTCCCTTTCACTTTCATTCCTGAGGTACCAACCATAAAGCACTTTGCAAACCTCATCTTCTGCTCTAGAAAGGATCCAGCTATAATATAATTCTTTGCTTGAAATGACTTTGCTTCCTTGGATGTCTGGCCGAGTTTGTTTTGTTTTTAACCGTTTCCTCCCCATTGTTTTTCTCTACTTTGAGACAGTGCTGTCCACAGTCCTTTATTTTCCTTTGTAAGATTTTACAAATGAGGGCACGTTCTAATCTGCCATCGTCTTTGGTGACCAGATCTCTCCACTTGGCAAGTAACAAATGGTCAAAGAAAAAATATGAAGTGTTTTAGGCACAAGTCTGCTGCAAACAATTTTTATTAATTGATTATTAGTACGAGTTCAAGCATTGCTTTGTTTGAGACAGATATGTCCAAGGCCCTTGGACATATCTCTAGCACGTAAGATATTTTGAAGTAATGTTTCCAGGAATCTTGAGCAAGAAAATTTCATAATATGATAAAATACAGTTACACAATTCAGGGGAAGGTACGAGTTTTTTTGTTTTATGAGTCCTGAACAAATGTCTCTTTAGCTCAGGGCAGCCCATAGAGACCGTTGACTCAAGCCACTCAATCCCTCTTTGACCACTGGTCACAGGTGACCTGACGTACTCAGAGACCTCTGCCCTCAGATCGGCGTGCTCATCCCTTGAGGAAATGGGGAGGAGGGCTGTGCTCTGGGTGTGTCCTTACCGGCAGTGGCGGGTGAGCCATGTCTCAGCTGCACCCGTAATGTTGCCTGGTCTCAATTTGGTTACTACACCTAATCCCTAGCCCTCTATCATTCTCCGCCTTTCACACAGTTTCCTAAGAGAAGACGTGAAGCCAGGGAAGGGGATGGGGGCATGAGGGTAATTCTAGTGAAGGCTGCTATTCCCTGGGAAGTGCTTAAAAGCATCAATCAGGTTTCCTTCCTTCAGGTAGATCTGGTAACAACTTTAGATTGGGGAGATTATTTCTTAATTTTCAGTGGTACCAAAAAGGAAGCTCTAATACCCTTCCACACAGCTGATCAGAAAGCATGTATAAATGACTGCTGTGTGCCAGACACAGTGCCAAGTGGTTGGGGCACAAAGAAAGGCAAACAGAAAAGTCAGGCCCGCCTCTCACAGCCCCTTCTGAGCTCTATTGATTGTCTCATTGTGGCAATAGATGCACACCAGTTACAGTTTTTACAGTCAGTGTTGATAACGTTTCTGTTGTTCGTTTAAACCAGTAATCAGCTTTGTCCAGATTGATGGGGAATATCTGATATTCTGAGGCAGAAGTGGTCATTTCTGGGGTGGGTATCAGGGAAGAGTCCCTGTAAAATGGCGCACCTGAGCTGGGCCTTAGGAGGATGGGCTGGATTTTCATAGGTGTAGAGGGAGGAATGGACATTCTGAGTCTTAGGAATGGTATCACCAAAGACAGAAAGGACTTAGGTGACATTGGTGTTGGAGTCTTGGGAATAGCTACAAATTCCCCAGGTAGTGTTAGGGATTATGTAAATGGTTATATGTTCAGTTAAAAGCTAAATGCACGGCTTTTCTCTTTCAGAGTGAAGAGAACTCCTCGGCTACCATTACAGACCTTAGCATTATCGTGGAGCCCACGGAACACAGTGAGCTCAGCAGATTTGTGGCCCGGTAAGGGAGTTCCTCGAATTGCTCTGTATTGGACCACTTCAATGTTTGGGGGAATAAACGTTCATTTATTTATTTTTATTATAAGCCTTAAAAGAGAAATTGTATTGATATATTTGGTTTTTACCTTGTCCAGATTTCCCCCATATCTCTTCCCTGCCCTCCTCTCTAAGAACCATCCCTTATAACAGAGATTTTTTTTATTTAAAACTTTTTTTGATTTATTTTGTTTTTTTTATCATTATCACCCTTTGTTTGCCCCAGTATCCTTCCCTCACCCCCTAAGAGAGCCATCCCATTTAACAAATTGTTGCTTTTTTTTTTGTTTACGGGTTTATTTATTTTTAAGGAATTGCAACAATTAGATTTCATCAATTCATGATCTCAGTGGCTGTCAAGTTGATCAAACTTTTACCAATGTTCAATAGTAGAACTTTCTTATTCCTCAAACTACCCCACCCGTGAGCTTGTCCAAACACATTTGCAAGAAGCAATCTCCTTAGCGACATCCTAGCATAAGAGATTTGTGCATAAGAAAAAAAAAACAAAACAGTATGAGCTAGAAACACTGAGACAGAACTCTTCCCAGGGTTTAACAGAGGCTAAAAAGGACCAGGGTCGGCAATAATGCATAAGCTGGCTTTGTTTAAAGGATCCGGCAGATTGCCGTTCACAGGGTAGACTAGAGAGAATAGAGAGAAGCAAATCTACCCAAGGTCAGAAGAACAGATCAAAGCAGAGATAAACGAGAGAAAGAAAGAAAGAAAATGTATAAATCTCAACAATGGGTAAGCCACAGTGCCAACTGGGGATTCAGTGAATATGGAGGTTATAGTGAGAGGAAATATGTATGAGTGGCTGATACCCTTTGGCACAGTGTGTGTGTGTGTGTGTGTGTGCGTGTGCGCCAGTATGCATGTTTGCACCTGAACTAATGAGTGGCAGGAATTTGTCAATAAAGAAGGTTGTTTTCTGTCGTCTTATTATCAGATTTTTTGCTATTAAACTAAAGGGAGGTCACTACTGGCTTGATGCAGAGCTCCAGATAGTCTGTTTTTAAAGACAAAGAAGGAAAACCATGACAAGTTGGCACCATTGATCAATGTGCAGCCTATAACCCGTGCGGGGCCCCGTGGAGCGGGCACGGTCTTTTCACCTCTCTCCTTTCAAGTCCCTCTGCGACTTTCTCACTTTCGGTTTCAGGATGGGTTGTGGTTTCCACTGGCGTTACTCTCATCGTTGTAGCCATTGTTTTCTTGGTTCTGCTCTCTTTCCTCTGCATCTGTTCATCTGGATCTTTCCAGGCTTCTCTGTGTCCATCACATTCATCATTTCTTGCAGCTCAGTCATAGATCGCATTTTGTTTACCCATTCCTCAGTCAGTGGGCATCTACTTTGCTTCTAGTTCTTGGCTATCAAAAGAGTACTGCTATAAATATTTTGGTATATATGGGGACTTTATTCTTATCAATGGCCTCCTCAGGTGTAGTCCTAGTCATGGAATGCCCTTACTTGCATCATTCCAAATTGCCTTCTGTGATGTTTGTACTGATCCACAGCTCCACCAACAATGTACCAGTGTGCCTGTTTTCTCATAGTTGCTCCAACATTGACTGTTGCCATTTTTGGTCATCTTTGCATATTTGTAGGGTGTGAGGTGGAACCTCAGGGTTGTTTTAATTTACATTCTCTCGTGATTAGTGATTTGGAGCTCCAATGAGGAAGCAAAGCTACATCTGTGACTCCTGTACCCAAGCTGGCATCAGGAGCTTGTGACAGTCCTATGAGGAAGGGATTGACGGTATTATTAGCTCCATTATAGAGACAGATGATCAAACAGAGGCTCAGCCAATCAGCAAGCATTTATGAAGCACCTACTGTACGCTGGGCATTGTGCTATGTGCTGAGGGTAGAGAGAGGTGGCTTGTCGGTGGTCACACACAGCCAGCCAGAGGATACAGGACTCCAACCCAGGCCTTTCTGACTCTTGATTCCAGTCTTCTGTCTGCCAGGCCACCCTGCCTCTCCTTTGTGGCTTAGACATTGCCACCTTCTGTCTCTGCCCACCCTTTGCTCTCGCCTCTCTCCTCTCAGGCCAGACTCGGTGCCATGTTCAGGGCTCCTTACAAGAGGAGAGAGGTGGTGCCTTCATGGCTCAGGCTTCCCTGAGCTTTTATATCAGTGCAGGGGGCCCGGAGTGGGAAAGCACCATCTCCCTGGATCTGGGAGGGTCCAGGGAAGGGTCTGGAAGGAGAGAAGGGGGCTGCACCGTCCTTCGGAGAAGGTCAGAAAGAAAGGATACTCCCCACATCCCTGTACACTGGACTGAACTCCATCTCTCCAGAGGCTACTGCGTAATGTTGCTATTTCTCTAATGATCTGGTCAAGGTGCGTTTTTAACCATCTCATCTTAGCTGAATTTGGGGCAGAGCTGCAGTCAAATCTAGCCTCAGACACTGACTAGCTGTGTGACCTTGGGCAAGTCACTTAACCCTGTTTGCCTCAGTTTCCTCATCTGTAAAATTTTAGGATAATGATAATAGCACTTACCTCCCGTTCATTCACTGTTTGTCCTTCATTCTCCAAGAGGACCATGACATCAGGAAGGTGATGCCGTGAATTGGGTGTAAGTGAGGGCAGGCTATGCAAGGTCACCAGCCTCGCTCTCTCCTCCAGAGCCATCTGACCAGATGTAGATCAGGACGACTGGAGATGGCCCGAGATACGGTGGGAGACCTTGGCCTTCTTAAGTGAAGGTCTTTCCCAGGTCTCAGTTTGTCTGAGGCAGCACCCACTCAGTGATTAAGGCTAGGTAAGAAATGACCTCTCTTACCTAGTAAAAACAAAAAACAAAATCAATCTGGGCAGTGAAGACCCTCTGGGTTTCTGGCCAGACAAACAATTGCTCTTTACTGTCACTCACAGCCACCAGAGCCCAAACGATGACAGGCGAGGCTTGGGCTGGGACCTATTGTTGGCCGATCAGAGTGATTTGAGGTTAAGGCATGGTCCTTAAAAAAGAAATTTAGCCCATAAACCCCAAGATATTTTGCAAGGTTTCAGCACACAAAGTCTGTATTCCTTTGGACAGAGCTACTCACCTCCCAGGTTGTTGTGAGGATCAAACAAGATAAATATTTGTAAGGCACTTAAGACAGTGCTTGACACATAGTAGATGCTTAATAAATATTTATTTCCCCCCTTTTCCCTTACCCCTCTCTACTTCCCCTTCCCCTGGAACAGGAAGGCTGGGAATCCAAGGACTCCAAGGCCAGGGAGGGACGGGTGGTGGCAACCCCTGAGGGGTCCTCCCCCGTCCTCTGCCCCCTGCTCCCAAGTAGAGGGGTCTGAGGCTCAGCACTGAGGGCTGGTGCTTCTTAATTAATTCCCCCTTCTGGGATCTCCTTGTTGTCTGACACCATTCTGCATGCTTTCATTCAAACAACAGCTATATTCAGCCCTGGCTAGATGCTGGCATTGAGCTGGTGAACCATAGGTTATCCAGCATGGGAGGGGGCTGAGACACTTTGAGATCCATTTCCCAAGGAAACCACCATCAGAGGGGAGGGAGTCAGAAAGTGAGCAATGAGGGAAAATAAGGAAAATGAATCAATCAGTAGACATTTATTAAGTGCCTACTATGTGCTAGGCACTAATTACTAAAGATCTTAGGAAGAAGAAAAGTCAGAGACCTCGAACATTAGCAGATAAATGAACAAGGGAAACAGTAAGAGCAGAAGGAATATGGTCTCCAGACCTGGTAAAAGAGTCCAAGCATCTGCAAGTAAATACAGTTAACAAAGGAGAATGACCCAATTCCTGATGAGACAGGGGCCCCCGTGCAGTGTGAGGAGAATGTGAGCCACCACACACTGTTCGTAGGTGGTTCAAAAGAAAAATGAGAATCATGAGGGCAGAATTTGTGGCCTGCACAGCAAAAATACCGGGCGGCATCAAAGCCTGACATCTGCCTTGGTGAGGGTCAGCAGAGAAACGAAAGAGAAAACAGACTGGGACCACAAGCGCACAGATGTGGAGGACAATCTAGCAGAAGAGAAGCAAACCCCACGAGCGTCCAAAGAAAACACTTGCAATGCGGGCAGAGCGCGTGGCTCTCGAAGCCAGGCTGTGCAGAGACAGCCTCAGCATAGCGGGTCTCCCAGGACACAACAGGACAGAGACCCAAACCCTGTAATGAATGCCTGTTCTCCCCATCCCCATCCCAAGCCAAAATCTTGTGGGGTTCTTCCTGGGGAAGCAGGCTTCTCTGTGACCCAAGTGGGGCACTTTTTAGGGGGTCTCTGTGGAAAGAATGCTAAACTTGGATTCAGGAAGCCCTGAATTCAAATCCAGCCTCAACATTTACTAGCTGGGGGGCCCTGAGAAAGTCGCTTGACCTCTGCCTTCCTCAGTTTCCTCACCTGTAACGTGCGGATCATAATAGCATCTACCTGGCAGGGTTGTTGTGAGGTAACATTGGTAAGTGCTTTGTACATCTTAAAGCGTGGTATAAATTTTAGCTAACAATGAGTGTGCTGAGCTCGGGTTCTGCTGAGTCTTGTGGTCAGTTCTATCCTGAGCTGATATGAGCCAAGGCCCGTGGGCTGCAGGCGAGGTGGTGACTTGGCAGGCCGGACCTTCCCGAGCCAACTTTGTTTAGATTTGGAGCCAACGTTTCAAACAAAATGATGACATTTGGCAATTGTCAGCAAACACATTTCTGCACGGCCTTCTGCTGACCTCGGCCATTTGAAGGGAGGTTTTTGGACTACGAGGCAGACTCCTTTCCCATTCTGTTTTTGCGTGTGGATATTTTAATGAATTGACCTGCCCTTCAGCTGATGTTCGGTCCAGACCCAGGTCCTTCAGTGTCTGCTCATCTGCTTTCCCAGCTCTGTCTATGTCTGATTCTCATTCTTTTTGAGAAGGAAACATCTGCATTCCTCTATAGCTTTTTAACTACCGTAGCTAAAGTTTGAGGCATCATCAGTGCCAGTATTTCA